CGCCCGCCATCGGAGCGAGCGGCGATGCTCCCGCGCGGCGCCGGCAGCGCGGGCTCTCCCCGCAGGTGGAGGGCAGGATGCCCCCTCATCCGCCCGGCCGGCTCCCTGCCGGTGTGTGCCCCCCGATCCGTTCGGTTGGAAGGGCCCCTTTGCGAAGGGGAGCGGAGGCACCACAGAAATTAAACGTGAGAAGAAATGAGCGGCTGGAGGTGGCTTGCGTCGCACTGGCACTGCCATGTGCGCCAGCCTTGGCGCTTCGTGCCCCTGGCACCTGCCTTCCGTGGTGCCCTTTGTGGTCAGCCCCACCTGGAGTTCTAATTTCAGGAGATATCTTCTCTTAAAAACCACTAATCTTCACTTCTACTATTACAGATCACATTCCTTGTCGGCGTAATTGCAAAACCTGATCTGTTTCACTCTACAGATGCACTTTTCTTGTTCATTTCTGGATCCACACTGGGGGCTGCTGTTCTACTTCCTTGTGTAATAACACAAGTTATATGGAACTTACTTGGAGTAAACTCCAAGTTATATGGAACTTTAAATCCATGATTTATTTAGTACTGGGATGCCCATGGCCTTTGAGAGGAAGAGTTTTTATGGAAACACAGGTTACATTTTTCAGAAATACCCCATGATTTGCATCCTAAATTTCACTTTCAAAGGTATTTGATGCCTTGAAGCTCCTGAGCACCTCAGAAGATATCTCTGAAAATGGAATTTAGGACCGTTCTAATTTTCAGAGCATAAACCAGTCAGTACCAGGAAGTCAAGAGAACTGATATTTTGAACCCTTTTTTCTTCCCATACCCTTTTTGTGTTCTCCCAAAATATTATCAGCTCTTGGGGGCTTTTTATTTTGGCCTATTTTTACATGAGTAACCTTATTAAGCACGATGCTGAAAATCTCTGAGCAGCATCTCCACCCAGGCTGATGAATCTTCACTCAGACCAGCTGGTGCACATTGCAGAACTGCAAACCATTGCTGGAGAGAAAATGGAGAGACCTGGCACACTCAGTCGCTGCCCTTCGCTCATCAGCTGCCAACAGGTCCCTCCCATGCTGAACTTTGTCTTGCCACAGCTTTTCCAGCTGGTCTGTGCCACATCAACAGGAGTCAATAGTCCGCTCCACCTCTGGGGCACAGCCTCCAATATTAATGGCCTGAGGCATCGTTACCAAATAATTAGTGAGGAGAACAGCCTGGTGCTTGTAGATGAGTGGTCTTAATTTTAATGAGATACAGATCAGTCCTCCAGCCATTGCAAGCCTCACAAGATGCACATTAGAAGCTACCTGAGGCCTCAATTGCCAAGGGTTTTGCATGAGCCCATGAGAAACTGGCTCTTCCATACAGGTTTCTGCCAGTTCATAGGGTGTTTGTTTTCCATCCTTAAAAAACTGGTTCTTCCACCAGAGAAACCCCCAAAAGGCAAGTGTTCTGGAAATATCTTTAGACAACAAAAGAGCTCATCTCTTTCCTAAAATGTTTATTTAGGCACCTCTTCTGTAAAAATCCTGAAGTTGGGAAGCTAGCAAGGTCTCTATCTCTAGATGGGTAAATTCACAGACTAATTCAATTAGTGTGGCTAGACAGATGCTTTGCTCCAGGTGGATGCTGTAGTGCGTGATAAACAGGATGGACAAGCTCACAGATTTTAAATAGGTGAAACCAGAGTGGTGTCTCTTAAAATATTTGAACATACAGAGTTATGCTAGGGGAAGTCTTAAAGTTTCCTGGAAAAAAACCCCACCCAACAGAACCAATACAGATTTTTGGGGCATGCTGGTCTTTCCAGTCATCTTTTGCCTGCTCTAGGTTAGATGCTAAAGACAGCAAAGCTCTGGAAACTCATCTAACTCACTGAGTATATATGTGGAGGCATAAGTAAACTTCTGCACGTGCTACTGCAGTTACCAATATTCAAGTTGATACTTTAAAGCACTTGAGAAAAAAAAAATATATATAATATATGCAAATGACATCATGTGTCTCAATCGCATCTTAGACATTCTGTTGGAAGAATTTGTTCAGGCTGATACACTTCTTGTCTTTCACAAGGAAAACAGCTGCTAGAAAAATTTTACTCTAATACTAATTATCTAAAACATCTGGTTGCTTGGTTTATTGCAGCAGAATACAATTTTCAGTTCCATTTCTGTCCAGAAGAGACAGAATGCCTGGATTTTTTTCTCTTATTTATGTTGTACACTCATACTTATTTCCTCTAGAAAAATTCCTCCTGGGTTGCTCTGCTGAAAAAAAGAGTGAGGGTCTTGCTTCTCCACTTTAGGTACATTGGTAGTCCTGAGTTTTCTTTTTGCCACCTCTAAACAGACCACATTCCTGAGAGATCTCAGTAGAATGCTTCAGGGATGGACAAGTGACCTGGTTGGATTTAATAGTTAATTATTGCTATACCCAAACAGCTTTTCTGGCCTAAATTGACTCAGCTTTAACTACTAATGTGTGGAATACTAATGTTCTTGGATTATCATTAGCCTAGAATAAAAAATGACTCTACAGCTAGAACAGTCCCTTCTCCTCAGGGCTCAGCAGTTTTGCCAACAGAGTTCTCAGCTCTTTCCACATCCAAAGCAAACATTTCCCCCACAGTAATTTCTACTAAAGCATCTTGCAGATACCTTGTCAGGTTTTCATAAACACTCCAACTTTCATTGCTGGCAGGCAGTGTGCTGCCCTAGATAAGGGTGGGCACTCCAATCTTAAACCAGCCAGCTCTCCTGCGACCATCTCATTGCACCTTGTCTCTGGACATCTCCTTGCTCCTGGGCTTGTGTCAACATTCACCTCTGGGTAACCTTAGCAGGCAGAGTTTTCTTAGTCCATCACCACGCTGAAACATTTTCTTCTTTAGTTCACTTTTCCACCCTTCTGTTCATGGTTAAAATTACTCCACATTAGATGGGTAATCGTGTGTCTTGATATTCGGCAGGCACAACTTTTTTGATCCATATGCAGAGTCGTTGCCTGTGGTATATGGAGTGTGTGGCACTGAAGAACTGAGGGAGAGCTGTGCAGGGTGAGGACCTTAGTGAAGTACTTGACTGGTATCTTACACCTCAAGGGGCAAAAGTGCAAACTGAAAATCTAAGCTTGACCATCAGCAGTGTGGGTAACAGGAGAAGGAGCAGGAGAGGATGATTTCCCTTCAGCAGAGCTGGTGGAAAGCACTCCTGTGAAATGTGCCAAAGCAAGCAGCTGAGCTGTATCATTAGGCATCTCTACAATTGCCATTGGAATCGTATTCCCAAACCTTCCAGACATATTTTACAGTCCAGGGAGCTAATGTGTGCCTCACCCAGTACAGCCCCACTGGAGCACTACACCTATTCCTGCTGAGGATGAAGCAGGGAAAACCAAGATGAGGTGCTAAGAGAAAACAATGGTCTTACAGAAGACCTGTGATATATATTTAAAAAAAACCCACCAAACAAAGCAGGGCTGCAACCATAACTGTTGACTTCTGCCACCAGAACCTCTCTGGATGTTCTCTGCAGCACTTCATTGGTCTCCTTTGCACTGCTGCAGGTCAGGAGCAGCTATTGCAGCCTGACACCCACCCAAGTGCCTGCATCCTCACCCCTCCCCATGGCTATGGTTTCAGACAGGTGTTTGTGCAGTGCTGGGGCTGCTCTCCTGCCCCGTGGCCCTGGGTGCCAGCCCGGCTGTAAATCGCTGCTAATCTGAGATAATTGCAAGGGTGACTGAGGAACATCATCCTGAGAGCCGCCCTCGGGACATGCTTGCCTCAGTCTGCCGGGTTCTGACACTGGCTCTGGCAGAGAAGATGCTCTCACCTGGCTGGGAGGATGTCACACCCCTGCATTAGGTACAGGAAAAGAATGTCCCTGAGAGGTTTGCATTCTGCTCCGTTCAAAATCCCACCAGTGAGGTTAAAAATCAGGCGCAGCTGTCTCAGATACCAGTCTCAGACTACACCCATTTGGGTTTCTTTCCAGGACACTGTATCTATGTTTGGGCCAGTTTTCAGTTGCTTTAAGCCATTTGGATGAAAGCAGAGCTCATGTGCTGCCAAAACAGATTTACATGTAATGTAAATCATATCCCCTTGGCACCAGATCTGCACCCCTGACTGGTCCTGCCTGGTGCATTTGTCTGAGGGAAGGCTTACATATTAAGACAATAAGGAATAACTTCAGATATGTTCAAAGTACAAGGAAGAAAATGTAAATAAACGTGAGATCCCAGGGCTTTGGCCAAGAGGCTTTTCCTTGGGATGGCTTTGAAATTATATTTCGTGATTCTCTGGTGCAAAACCCTGTGGACCAGCTGGCACAGGAGGGAGGAGACAGGATGGGATTTTAATCACCTGCCGGTGTAGAATGGGGGTGTAAGTGTGCCCACAGCCAAGGGTGTATGGCAGTAAGGAGAACTGAGACTGGGGCAGCTTGTGGATGTATCAGCAGCTGTCATTTCTGAGATACCATGACACTAACAGTTTTAAAGCAATTTCTTTCTATAAACACTTCTGGCTTTACTGCCTTGCTATTTTGAGTCCTGCTGGAGACTTGGACTCATTAAAAAGGCATTTCCTTCGGACAAGCAGATTAGATAGCTGTTCCTTCCCCCACATGATGAAAGGATGGAGAACACCTCACTGAAGCTAAAAATGCAAAAAATTAGGACACATTAGTTTAACAAGGGGTCAAGGTTCACCTTGAAATCTCCACCTATAAAAAGAGTTAAAAAGGAGAGGAGATTCCTGAATGCAAGAGTTGGGTGTCTTGTCTACAATCCACATTGCATAAACC